AACAAATAAATAAATAAAATCTTAAAAAATAAATAAATAGAGGCGCCTGGGTGTCTCAGTGGGTTAAAGCCTCTGCCTTCGGCTCAGGTCATGGTCCTAGGGTACTGAGATCGAGCCCCACATCGGGCTCTCTGCTCAGCAGGGAATCCGCTTCCCTTCTCTCTCTATGCCTGCCTCTCTGCCTGCTTGTGATCTCTGTCTGTCCAATAAATAAATAAAATCTTTAATAATAAATAAATACATATGTATATAAATTTTTCATAACAAAGAAATAATAAAAACTATTATAATTCACCACAAAAGGTCTCCCCTTTTTCTTAGATGAGGTAACATTGTTGTACTAAACACACTGATAAGTATCTTAAATGATGTAACCTAAGCTCAGTCTCTGATACCAACAATGTAGGAGAGAGTAGTTAGAGTTAAGAACTCCCCCTCCTCCTGACTTATCTGAATTCCTTTAATAATCTATTATAAGCCCATGAACTTGTCTATACACTTGTGAAAGGTATTTATAGTTAAGGTTGTCCTAACCCTTGGATTACTATGTTCCAAAAAGGGTTTTTTTTTTCCCTATCACGTTGAGCAAATTTCTTAAATAAATATGCTTGTTTTTTTAACTTTAAAATAAAAATCATAATCATATGGCTGTTGTTGAAGACTGAATTAAAGAAGATAATCCTGCATCATGCTTATTAGCATATTATAAAAACTCAGTAAATATTAACCATAATTTTATTACAAAAAATAGTACTTTGTTTTGCTTTGATCTTCAATTATTTCCTGCTTCATTTGAAAGACATAATGTGTGTGAACTACCTAGCACTATGCCTAGCAATTAGTGGTACTCAATTAAAACGGTAATGGAGGTATTTGTGGTCTTGAATATACACACCAGTACTTCTTAATCAATTATGAGGGTAGCAATTTTTACTTGAAAAAGCCTTTCATTCTGCTCTATCGCAACAAATCTAGAGTCTAAAATACTGGAAATCTGGAGTCATTAGAACTAGGAATTACCTTGCACTTAATCTGTCATACCTTACTTCTTGATTACAGCATTTCTTAGCATCTGTATTTACATATGAAAAAAAAAAAGAATGTCAGAAATGTTTAGGGATTTGTCTACAGTACTATTTCCAGTATCTAACAAATAACCAAGAAACAAGAAACACTGCTTAATTATCTCACCTAGAAATCCACTAGTATACAGCCTCTGATGATGAGAACTATACTCTTTCCTAAAAAACTTTTTCCTATACTCTTTCCTAAACTCTTTCCTTATCTAAAAACAACAAAAAAGTGCCAGCTTGCTTTTTTTACAGTAATAAAACCAACAAAAGAAAAGGAATATGAAATTATAAAGGGAAGGTTCCATTAGTTTAGTGTTACGGTAAGCATTAAAGAGTAAGATAAAGATGCAAAGAAAGGTTTAGCTTAGCAATTAGAGAAAATGATTTTAATAAGAAGGTCAATCAGACAAGGCCATCATTTGCTTAATGGAAAAGTGATATTACAGTCACCAGGCACCTTATGAATATGCAGATGTATTTATGGACAGAAGAGTAAAAGTCCTAATGCAGGAAATAGATCAGAGACTCCAAAGGATTGTTTGCAATCTTCTCACCTGGACGCTATTAATGACTTGGTCAAACTAAATAAATTAAGAAAGTAAAAAGGGCTCTAATAAAATTCTCTTTCTATTAAAACTTTTCTAAATGATTTGTCTAGCAAAATAAAGCAAGCAAGATATCTTGCTGCCTTTGTAGTATCTAAGTAAAATTATATTCTTTACTCATATTAAATCAATTTATACATGTTTCATATGGATTACTACAGATATCACAGATGACCTGCAAACATGCACACTTGATCTTGGATCAAGAGGAGCTGGCAAACAGTATTCATTTATAAAGTAGGACAAACTTTCTTGTGCCTTAAATTTTAAAGTTTTTCTTTTTCAATTATATATTCATTATTTATATTACCTATATAATCCTATCTATTTCTTTTCAGTGAGCCATCTTCTATTTTTTAATCTACCACTGGCTTTAAGACAAACAATCCTAAATAGACCCCAAATAGTCAAAGCAATCTCGAAAAAGAACAGCAAAGCAGGAGGCATCACAATTCCACCTTCAAACTATATTGTAAAACTGTAATGATCAAGACAGTATGGTACTGGCACAAAAAGAGAGACACAGATCAATGGACCAGGATTAAAAAAACAAAACAAACAAACAAAAAAACAAAACTATATGGTCAACTAACTTCAACAAAGCAGGAAAGAACATCCAATGGAAAAAAGACAGTCTCTTCAACAAATGGTGTTGGGAAAAATTGACAGCAAGATGCAAAAAATGAAACTGGACCACTTTCTTATCCAATATACAAAAATAAATGCAAAATGGATGAAAGACCTAAATGTGAGACAGGAAACCAACAAAATCCTAGAGGCAGTGTTCTTTGACCTCACCCACAGGCAGTGTTCTTTACAGTTCAATTGCACTATTAGGCATTTACCCAAAGAATACAAAAATACTAATTTAAGGGGATACATGCACCCCAATGTTTATAGCAGCATTATCAACAATAGCCAAATTATGGAAAGA